TACATAAATGTATTTTATATAATTTTGTTATAATAAATAATATTTATATTATATATTATAAAGTTTATAATATATATATTAAAAATATATTTGAAATATTTTTCAGAATACATATAATAAACTTCATTTTATATTTTATATATTTTAATTATAAAAATATTTAATATACATAAGCATTATAAATTATCATCATCATTTTCATTGAAAGATAATATAACTTTTTCTTGTTTTGTTTTTTTTATTTTCTTTTTTACTGGTTTATCTGCTGTTTCTAATTCTGTTGCTGTTATTTTGTTTTTTCTAAATATAATTCGTTTAGATAAATCTGCAGGAGCATTAGCCTCTTCTACAATATAATATTGATATATAATTTATCTTTTATTACTTAATATTACAAGTTATGAAACTTATACCTTCTTCTTTTTTTTTCTTATATGCCTCTGCTTGCTTTGCAGTTAAATGTTCAGAATTTAATACAACTACAACAGGTTTCTCTTCTTCACGTTCTTCTTCATCATTATCTGAATCTTGTGGTAATATTTCTCTCTATTTTAAGACATTATTTAAATAATTGTTTATACTGATTATAAATAAGCACTTATTATAATATATTTAATGATTTAATGATAAATATTTTTTATTATAGTATATAATTATTAATACATAATTACGTTATAGTTAATAATTTTAGAATTAAATAATAATTCATGTATAATGAATAATAATAAAATATAATACCTTCGTATCGATTGTAGGACCTTCCTTATATCCGATTTGTTCTTTTAATTCGCGTAAAAATTTTGGTTCATTCGGTTTAATATATGAAACATTATGTTTTTTTCTAGACATTATATTGTCTTCCTGTTAATATTTGAAAATATAACCTAACTTAAGGATATCACTAAATAGTATTATATATAGGCATAAACGCATATTCTACATAGATTGGAAAGTAAGATTTGTCTAGTAAAATTTACTAGTATATTAATCTTGTTTGGTTGGTAGGAAGGAAAAATAGGAATTTTTATGCAAATTGATTTCAATCATAAATATATATTTTTATAAAAAATGTTAAAAAAAAAATGAAAATTTTAATTTAATTTAAAATATATTTAATATTATATAATATTTAAAATTAAATTAAAATATTTAAAAATCGAAAAATTCAAATATGTTTATTTTAAGATTATATGTTGCTGTTTCATGGAATTATAGAATAATATCAAATTCGAAATAATATGCTTTGATAATTTATTAATTTCGTGATAACGATAATAATACTATTAACGTTTTTCACAGTTTACAACTGTTTTTAACCAATCATATAATCAACTATCGATAAAAATTTAAAAAAGATTTAAAAAGCGCCATGAACATTTACATATCTATTATCCTTTATCATATTGTCCGGAAATATTAGTAGAAAACCATTCGTTGGTCAAATGATAATTTAGTTAACCAAAATCATAACGAATCGTATATGTCCCAAAAAGTTTCAAAAACGATGGTCCGTTCCTTTATCGTTCGATGAGAATATAATAATGTCACGATATAAAGCTGAATATAAAGATTTAAATGCGAACAAGTCCGATATACGATATACGTTAAATACGTCGTCGTTATTCAGAACTTGATACATATAATAATTATATGAGTATCTTTATTAGAATACAATTTTCAATGAAAAGAATGATTTACAGACGCGTCATTTCAGAATTATTTAGTGCCCTTAATTTCCCATCCGAATGGCTAGATCGACGATGTCGAATTTGAGCGTGCGTACTAATAATATATCCACCTTCCTCTTGTCGATTGTGTTTCTCCACTTGAATAACCGGCATACATCGTGGAGCTGGCCCATCTAAACATTCACAACTCAAACTGGCATCTAACTCGCCTTGATATGGTGGCGGTATTAACAAACTTTCGGTAGATTTAGTTGGCTGAAAGTGTCTGCTAGAACTGCCCGAATATGTAGTACCACTACTTGTTCGTCTTTGAACAGTACCAGTTGGCGTTTTCGCTCGTCCATGCGCATTCTTTCCTGGTCTTTCGGCGCTATGCGTTTTTATAGTAGCCGTATCCAAATAACCATATCCGAAACCGTAACCACCGAACGCCTTGGTAGTCAGATTGTCCCAGGATTTTGGTTTGGCATACTGAAGGCACGGTGGTGGTCGTTGATGTACATTTGGATCCCAATAGAGAGTATCCGTGCTTAGGCTCGTTGAGCAAGAGGCTACGCTTTCAGCTGCGGTCGAAATATCGCTGCTGGTAACAGAATGTAAACTATGTCCTGATGTGCGCGAGCAGTTATGTGTACCATGTGGTTGTTGCTGTTGTGTCTGGTTCGATTGTACATGATGATGCTGGACTTGTTGCTGTTGCTGCTGTTGTTGTTGTTGCTGCTGCTGCTGCTGCTGCTGTTGTTGTTGTTGCTGCTGCTGTTGCTGATGATGATTTTGTTCATTCTTCGCTCTTCTTTGTTTTTCTCGACGTCTACGACTAGGTACACAATTAGGATCACAGCATGGACTGGCTAAATCGTATGCGTCTAAACTGCCGCTATCTGATTGTTCTCTACGACGACTGGCACTTGAAATACAAGCAACGCATAAACTATTTTGCGGAGGAGGGTGAAGAGGAAGTGGATTTTCACCACTACTAGATTGTTGTTGCTGTTGTTGACAAGATTTGTGCGATTTCGATTTGGCCGGTGTGCTATTCATTCCGTTTGCTTGATGATAACTATGTCGTGACGAAACAGTCATTCCTGATTCGCTCGACATCTTCGAGAGAAAATGATGATGATCGCTTCGTGAACGGGGAGGCCCTACCGTTACTAGGCAAGCGGTGTTTCGAGGAACTAGACATGGTCGTCCATCTGGAAACTATAAAACCATCCATTATTATTTTTTTTTTTTTTACTAAAATCTAAATAATCTGAAATATAAATGATGTTTTTAATATACCACATTGTAAAATAACAGATGTTCCGTAGATGTAGCCGGTCGACAGCATTGAATTGTAGAAGAATTGAAACTTGACGATGGTGATGGTTGATTAGCGTTACTAGTAATTACACTATTAGGCGTTCTTTTACGGGCTGGCAGTGAATGGGTTTTCCATCGACCCATGAGAATAGATCGTTCCCTCTCACAGAGTCTTTCTAGCTCACCAAGGCGTGATTGTAGAGCACGTTGTAGTTCAATATAACGCATATGCAATTCCACCTGAAAAAAATCATCGATATTGTACGTTCAAATCTGAAATCTGATAAATTCAAATGGTTATCGGTCTTATTGATCTTCTCGATATTTACTTTTCTTACACAATCTTCAAAAGATACAACCATTCGCATTCTAGTATCACAGTTTTTTATGAAATTGACTAATGTCTTATGATCCGCTCTGTCCATTTCGTGGCCGTTTATCGAAAGTATCACGTCACCCTCTCGCATACCTGCTTTGAACGCTGGTCCATCGTATTCCACGTAATCAACATACGTGACCATCTCGATTTCCTGCTCTCGCTTGTAATGTATCCCGTAACTCTGTCCAATTTCAATTGTGATTCAATTAAAAATTTTATATTTAAATCAAAGTTTATATTTTTTTTTTTTGAAATAATAAAAATTCTAAACAATATATTACTATATTTCATGAAACATAATCACAGAATAAAATTAAGATATAATTAAAGAAGATACATACAGATGTTATTGCATGATATTGGATGAACGAGGAGATTACCTGTAACGTGAAACCGTATGTGCCATTTTTCTTCTCAACGATAATGGTACGACGACGTCTGTCTTCATCCGCTCGTGTTACTCGATCTGACTTTGATCTTTCTAGCACAGCCTAGAAAAAAGTATGATACTGGTAAGTTCGTATGATAAACGGAAAACAAAGAAGCCTCTATTATCATTCTCTAACATCGCATTACTTCGTCTAATGGAACATATTCGTTCCTATAAACTAAACAAATTTTTACTAAATTATCTAATACATCCTAAATGTAGCGTTGCAACGAAATTAACGTAACCCAAAACATACGATGCATTTTTGGAAATAGTTGCGCGATAATCGGGATTAATTAAAACAAAATGAACAGACATATCTACCAACATGAAACGCAAAAAACTGGTACAACAAACGATAACAATAACAACGACAACAATAACAACAACAATAACAATAACAAAAAAAATAAGAATCAGATAATAAGATTCAACACACGTTGTGCAATCCACAGAATTTCCTTGACCACGAAAAACAACTCGAAATGGGCAACAAGAAACTGCTCGAGGAAGGCTGTTTCAGCAAATAAAAATCATTCTTTCGATACACGAGTCGATGTAATAACATTACACATTCCACGACACCACTCCATTCCTCCTCGTCGCTGTTCTCAACGCCGGCACGGTGTTGTTGCCCGGCCACCTCCGTATTCTGCGGCGAGTTGTTCATGATCCTTTGAAACGTAACACAAAGAAACAGGAGCGAGCGAATCGAATTATCCCCGAAGAAATATTTCTCTGTGCGCGGATTCGATCACCACCTGGGGAGGGGGGGAGGGATCCTACGTGGCCGTGTGGTTGAGACGTGGTGCAAGCTAGGTATCAGGGCGTACGCGCGTTTCTTATTCACTTTCGAACGTCAGCTTCACTTTCACGTTTCTTTCTCTCTCATTGTGCTTACATTTCGACAGGCGACGCCAGCCAGCCAGCCAACCAGCCAGGCCGCGAGGTTAACGTGCGTTTAGGCGCGATTATATATGTGCTCTTTTATTGTTATCTTCCTTCCCGGCTGGTGTCGCCGGTTCCCAATGCGCTTGCCCGACAATATCGGCTTACAACCCCGACCGTTCGGTGGTAAGCACTGAGGGTGGTGGAGGAAAGAGAGAGCACGCGCAGTCTCATCATCCAGTGATCCCTCCTCTCTCACGTTCACCCTTCGTTCCTTCCTTCCGTCACCTTTTGTCACCCACCTTCCTTCCCTTCTTCTCCCTTCCCTTCCCTTCGCCTATGCGGGACAGGAATAACTTCTCGCGTGCAATGTCCTTGCGGTTTGCACACCACCGATGATTTGTTTCCTCCAGGAATCGGTGTCAGGGAACATCAAATCGGTATCAAGTTTTCTCTTTTTTTTAATGCAACTTTCTTTCCTTTTACGTTTATTGACACCTATTACGAACGGTGTTCATAATAAGTCAGTTTTATACGTATACTTTTTTTTTACTTTATTATATTGGAGATCGTTGAGGTTTGTTAAAATATTTGCTATTTCTTTGCTTTGAATGATAGTGTACGAAGGAAAAGTAATTTTAAAAAGGAGAGATATGGTAATATGTTAAAATAAATAAATTATTTAAATAAATAAGGAATAATCAAATACACGCGTCAATATTAAGTTCTTTTTTTTTTTTTAATTTAAATAATAATTTGTTAGATGTATTTATTTGTTGATAATTTATTTTCTATTATACATATGTAATCGGTTTTATATTAACAGTATTTTGAAGAAATTCTTTCATTTTTAGGTCGTTTTTGTTACATAGAGTATTGTGATATTTAGCAAAAGAATAATGAAAGAGAATGAAAACTGGTGCAAACAGGGAGAACATCCCACTCTTTCTTTTATGTTTCTCCACTATTTCCATTTCTGTACTTCGCCGAACTGTACCCCGAACGACGAAAATAACATGTCATGACGTCGTTGTCGTGGATTTCGATGTATTTTTATAAATATCTCGACGAACAGAGAAATAAACTGCCTAATAAAGAAAATAAGAATGAAAATGAAAATGAAGGAAAAGAATAAAAAAAAAAAAAAAAGCACAGAAAAAGAATG